CCCTGCTCCTCCAGTACTACTGAAAACGTTGCTGTGTTCATCTGGGACAGCCTCCAGAAGTGCCTTCCTGCCGGAGCCCTTTATAAGGTCAAAGTCCACGAAACCGAGAAGAACGTGGTGGTTTACAAGGGAGAGGGTGCACCTTCCGAGAAGTTGGGGTGAGATGCTTGGGGTGGCCTTTGGGCCGTGATTGGACAGCTCAAAACTCGGCCAGTCTGTCGACCATCCATCCCCCCATCCATGTATTGTTGGATTTGTGAGTGTAAACATTGATCTGTTTGTTAAAGCATCACATGCCTGAGTTGATATGAAGCAGATGTTTTATGCAGCTGGGCGGCGTCAAACCTCCCTGCCCTGCCCTGTAAGCCTTCCAGAGCGATCCGAGAGTTAAAGCAAAACAGCGATTCCTCCTCCATTCCTGTTTTGTTCCCGTTTCAAGAGGAAGTCTCTGCTTTTTCTCCAGGATGAGTGTAAATCCCAAGATCCAGGGCTTTTTTTTTTTTTTGAATACAGGAGGGACTTGGCCGGGTCCCAGGCAGCTTGCAGGAAGTCCTCGGCTTGCGACCACGATGGAGCCCAACATTTCTGTTGTTAAGTGAGATGATTTGCGAAGTGAATTTTGCCCCATTTTACAACCTTTCTTGCCAAGGTTGGTAAGTGAATCACTGTAGTTGTTACATTAGTAACCCGGTTGTTAAGTGAATCTGGCTTCCCCATGGACTTTGCTGGTCACAAGAGGGGATCACACGAACCCAGGACTCTGCAACCGTCATAAATATGAGTCAGAGGCCACGTGTCTGAATTTTGGTCATAAGCGTGAAAAAGTCATTTTTTTCCAGTGCCGTTGTAACTTTCAGAAGTCACATTTTTTTCAGTGCCATTGTAACTTTGGTCACTAAATGAACTGCTGTAAGTCGAGGACTTTCTTGACTACCTAGTTTAAAAAAAAAAAAGAGAGGTGGGGAATTTATTTGCTGTGTAATTGAGCCAATTACTATAGTTAATCTCATTCCCATACTCTTTTTTTAAATGCAAGTTATCGTGGCTGTTCCGTGGCTAAGCCATGCCCCATATTTTGTGAGCCCATGGGCCACAGCACACCGGCCCCCTGCCCGCCTTCTCCACTGTCTCCTGGAATTTGCCCAGATTCATGGTCATGGTGTCAATGACGCTCTACCCTCCTCATCCTCTCTCGTCCCATTCTTCTTGTGACTTCCCCTCTTTCCCAAGATGGCGGTCTCATTTCATGCAAGAATATTAGTTTAAAAAGTTCCGGCTCTCGGTTCTCCCACAAACCCAATAAACATCCCTCAACAAGTTGTTTTTTTTCCCCGGTTTCATCTTGGGCTCGTCTGGATGTCCTGATTTTACCCCATTTTTAAAAAGGACATTCTCAACTGCTTAGATTACATATCCAGGTGATTTTTTTGGGGAAGCAGTAGGAAGATGTCTGCCTGCCGCCTTCTGAATTTTTATTTTTAACTTCTAATCTAGGCAACAATCCTTGGACTTCCTGGCAGTGGCTCATCAATGTGCCAGCCAGGGCTGACTAATATTGGGAGGAAGGGGGTGCAAAGAGTCACCCTTGACCTGACGCAGCCCCCTTCAGAAGAGAATTATCGAATATGTAAGCTCTCCCTAATCAAGTGTTGTATAAACATTATGGATGAATGTGATTTCCGCTGGGGTGTAATTTCCCTTGGGCAGTTGTCATTAAATGCCTGAATTTTGCACCTGAATTTTGAATTGTTTTCTTTTAGACAAAGCAGGAGAGTACCTAGTTACAGATGTGACAGCCAGGATTTTAGATCAGCCTTCCTCAAAACCCATCACTCCATTTGCCAAAATGGCTGGGAGGATTATCAGTATTGTACATATATTGTTCCAAAACATTCTGTTTTAAGTGTTGGGGTCATTAACTTAGGAGCCCTGGCCCCAAGTGCTGCTGCTATCCCTGGTTCCATTTGGACTTTTGCTTCCAGCATCCCCTCTAGTTCCTCCTTCAGGCCCTGTTACTTCTCCAGCTTCTCACCCTCTTCCTTCTTGACCTTGCTGTCAATCGTGCTGATCACTACACCTATCCCCACCACTGATGTCTGGCCCTTGTCTACCCCCACAATATCTGGTTGATGGATCTGGATCTGGGACTCCTACAGGACTCTAATCCTCTTACACTCCGCAATATTCTGTGGGGTCTAGGCTTAAGAGGGTCTGAGCGCATATACCGTGCAGGTACCCATGTCCTCACTGCCTCCCCTTCCTCAAAAAGCATCACAGATGACCAGCTCTTTCCCATTACACTTGGCGGTTATGGGGGAATTCTTTGAGTGGTCAAGGCAGCAGCCTTGCATGCAGAAGTCCAGTCCTGCCCTGTTCACGATGGCTTCCGAGCGGCCTTTCCATACACTCTGCTTGTCCTTCTGCCGAAGCTGCTTTTACTTTGCTTGTACTTGTACTTTACTTTACTTTTGCTTTGCTTTGCTTTGCTTTGCTTTGCTTTACTTTACTTTACTTTACTTTACTTTACTTTACTTTACTTTACTTTACTTTACTCTACTCTACTCTACTCTACTCTACTCTATTGTCATTGCACCTCGTACAACGAAATTAAATACCATCTTCAGGGTACATTATGACTATGAAAATAAACACAAACCCACATCCTTCACATTCTACACATTGAATTGAAAACCCCTGATATTGCATTAATGTTGCACTATGCAGTAGAATTCAATAGAGTTACTGTCCTGGGTAGAAGCTGTTTTTCAGCCTATTTGTCCTTGTTTTTATTATTATCCTGTACCGTCTGCCAGATGGTAACAGTTCAAAAAAAAAGGGGGTGCCCAGGATGAGATGGATCTTTGAGGATGTTTTGAACTTTCTTAAGGCAGCAGGAGCTATGAAGCTGTTCCAAAGAGGGGAGAGGGCAGCCCATGATCCTCTGGGCAATGACATTCACCCTCTGGAGCGCTTTCCTATCTGCCACTGTGCAATTGGCAAACCAGACAGAGGTGCAGTAAGTTAAGATACTCTCTACGGTGCAGCGGTAGAAGGTCACCAGCAGTTTTTCATTCAGTTGTTGTTTTCTGAGAAGCCTTAGGTGGTATAAGCTCTGCTGGGCCCTTTTGACCAGGGCTGCAATGTGAGCCCCCCAGGTCAGGTTCTCTTTTAGGGTAACACCTGGCCACTTGCTCCCCTCAGTCTCCACTGATAAGTAAGGGCTGGATGTCGGATCTGTTCCTTCTATAGTCCACTACAAGCTCCTTGGTCTTCTTGGTGTTGAGGACCAAGTTATTGTCTCCACCCCACGAAAGCAACCGTTGGTCCACCTCATCTCGGTAGGCAGACTCATCCCCCCCTCCCCAGATGTGGGGCTGACGGAGTAATTTCCCCCTCCTCTGGCGTGAGAAGATCAGTCACACTGCCAAATGGGAGACGAGAGTTGTTTTTATGGGCGGATAAGCAAGCGGGGTCAATTTTGCTTTGTAAAATCATTTTATTGTGTATGCTTTACAAGGGGGCAAAAAAAAAAAGTGCCCTTCACTTCATTCCGTTTAGGCTGAGATGGAACAAAATCTCATTAGCAGGGTACAGAGAAGGAGCTGGTCAGCCTCCTAGCGTTGGACAATGGTTATCAACGTGAAAAGGGAAGGCAGGACATGGGGCATGCATGTGTGAGCATGCCTCTCTGTGTAATAAGGCAGAGCTGTGTGGCTAAACAATGCATTAGGGGAGTAAATCTGCAGAAGCACTGGGGAAGTGGCCTTTTGGCCTTAAGCTCCCTACTGTTCCCCTCACCCCCAGGCCTAGTCTAGAGAAAAGAAGGACCAGGGGTGACACGATAGCAGTATTCCAATATTTGAGGGGCTGCCATAAAAGAGAGGAAGGGGCCAACTTATTTCCCAAAGCACCGGAAGGCAGGACAAGAAACAATGGATGGAAACTAATCAAGGAGAGACGCAACCTGGGAATAAGGAGAAATTGCCCGATAGAACACTTAACCTATGGGACAGCTTGTCTCTAGACGTTGTGGGTGCTCCATCACTGGAGGTTTGGAGACTGGACAGCCACTGAAATGGTATAGGGTCTCCTGCTTGAGTCAGGGGTTGGACTAGAAGACCTCCAAGGTCCCTTCCAGCTCTATTCTGATTGTTTGATCGATTGACTGCCCAACTCCTTTGGAATTCATAAGTTCCATTGCCCTTAACATGGATGGTGTTCGGTTTTGTTTATCCAATACCCCTCAGCAAAAGCTCTGGCCCATCAAGCTAATAATCCTGGCATTATAAGACCGCCCAATTAAATGTGCGGGACAGGCGACTTACAGGAGGTTTGTGACAGAATTTTACAAAGATGAGAGGGGTATTTCACCTCACCTCGCCCCATGCTTTGCAGCCTACTAGGTCCCAGTGCTCTGCACCTAGCCGTCGAGCATGAGCCATGGTACATGTACAGATGCGCGTTAGCAAAAGCGGCTATTGAAGTTCCTTGAAGCAGTTAACTTCAACTTGGCGGGGTCTTCTTGGGGGGTTGCCAGACTGTCAGACAGAAAAGACTTCATCAGTGATTAATAGACACATAGAGATAAAGCACATTTACGCCCCATTCAAAAGCCAAGAAAGAAACAGACAAGGTCACATCATCTCCAGCAACCAACCCCTAGATAAGCGGGGATGAACTCCAGACCAAATGGAAAGATACTGTATGCAAAGAACTACCAAGGAGAAAAACCAAACACCTACCAAAACGGGCAGGGTAAGCTGCCATATATAAACAGAGCAAATTGTGAATTTCATTGTATACTGTGTATATACGTACAACGACAATCAAGAATTCAATTCAAACCCCACACTTCCTTGCACTGATGATGCTACCTAATCAGGTAATGAAACATCTGCAAGAAAACAAACCAGGCAGCATCAACAACTCCAAAGAATGCTTACAAATACTCCAGGATTCTCACCTGTGCTCCCCGCCTTTCATTGGCAAGGGGAAGTGGGTTACTTGCCCTTAAAAACAACAAAGTTTTTGTCCGATTCATAGATCTTCACTTTATAGAGGCACCCCGCGGGAAGGATTCTTTCCATGCTGTTCCAGATGTACACGGCCAGATTTTCCGTCGAGCTGAAGAAGAGCAGAAGGATGGGAGGAGAGGAGGGGGCTCAGAAGCTATTCAGTTGCTCTATGCCCCCTACCCCCGTTGCTTTTGGCTACTCTTTGGCCACGGGCATCAGGTCCACTATTCCCAAAGATGGCATCCTGTGGGTGTGAGCGGCTTGCTACCACTTGTGGAGGAGGAGGAGGAGGTGTGGGAGTCAGGGCCAGCATCAAGGGGGAAGCTCCAGGTGGGAAGAGGGAATGGAACTGGCAGAGAGAGAGGGAGGGAGGGAGGGAGAGAGAGAGAGAGAGACGCGGAACCTGGACTGTTTGTCAGCCCTCAGATGGAGAGTCAACAGCCCCCAGGTCTGGAGGTGGCTGATGAGGAAGAGGAGGAACAGCCAGGCCCAGTGCCTGATGCGCAGAAGGCAGAGGAGAGGAGAGCAGTGGAAATCTATGGGCCGGGCCTTGGGACGGAAGAGTCACCGCTGCTGTGAAGCCCCACCCTAGCTCTGGGGATAAAAGGCAGGGGCGGAGGTGAATAGGTGTGGCAGACAGCTATTAATCTTCTGGCCGAGGCTTTTTAGCCTGAGAGAGAAACTTTTTGCTGGGGCTCTTAAAGGAATTGTTGAGTTCACTTTAGAGGGTTTGTTGTGCATGGAGATATGATGACCCAAAGGGGCGTGGGCACAAAAGCAACAAAGTCACAAAAGTAGGTCAAGTCCCTTTAATTCCTCCAACTTGGCCCCCAATGTCCAGTTGTCGTTGGCTGGAGAAAAAAAACTTCCCCAAGAACAGTTTTTAAAGGGAAGAAATTCAGTCTGAACCCAAAGTACATCTAAATTATAAATAAAAACCAACACAAACCACAAGCTGCAGCAATGAACGAGACAGGGCAGGAGAAGGAATTGCAGAACTCAAAAGATAACGAAACACACACAGTTGGGAGGACGCCAGAACCCAGATAAGACGTGACAAACAAAGATAATGCACGCTTTTGCTTCCAGCAAGGTGCTGTGCGCAAACGCCCTTTATATCCTGCTTTCCCAGCTGCAGCTATTGAAGGGAATCAGGACCTTTTCCTCCCCTGTAACCCACGTTGCTCCCTTCTCTGTTCCTCCCTACGTGCCCTAGGATGAAGAGGGGGTGACCCTGGGTCTTCCTCTGAATGCCCAGCCAGACTGTGCCCTTCCCCAGTTTCCTCCACAGCCACTGGAGCCACACTCCCACTCCCTGCCAGCTGTTTCTCCTCTCCCTTGGAGTCAGACTCCAACAGGGGCAGGACAGGAGAGCTGGGCCAGAACCCAGCTCCATCATTCCCCAGCTACTACCTTGTAACATTGGCAAAATAGCCCACATCCACGTCCAGGTTCTTGTGATCAAGAGGCTCGAAGATGGCCGTCTGAGGACAAAAGCATAAAAAAGTGGCCTTTTGTTTCCCCCAAGGTGGGCATTTTCCATGTTCAAGAGGCATTAAGTGCTAAAAATGATACAGGTGAGATAAAAAATAAAGAAATTGGTGCCCGGAACATTAATTCAGATAGTCCTCGACCACAGTGGAGCCCCAAAAATTTCTGTTGTCAAGTGAGACAATTTGTTAAGTGAGAGTTTGCCCCCTTTTACGACCTCTCTTGCCACAGTCGTTAAGTGAATCACTGCAGTTAGGAACCCCATTGTTAAGTGAATCTGGCTTGTCAGAAGGACGCAAAAGGGGATCCCGTGACACAGGAAAACAGCAACGGTCATAACTATGAACAAGCAGCCAAGCGTCTGAATCATGTGACGATGGGGATACTGCAATGGTCGTAACTCTGGAAAAACGGTCACAAGTCACTTTTTACGGTGCCGTTAACTTTGAATGGTCACTAAATGAACCGCTGTAAGTCAAGGACTACCTGGAGATGGGGAAAGGAGAAAAACAAAAGCCTGGCTGTCGGATTCATGTTTTGCTTGTCGATTTCCCCCCAAACCAACTCTTTTTAAAGCCTGTTTTTCCCCCCCAGGAAATCATAGATCATCGAATAATAAGCGTTGGAAGAGACCTTGGAGGCCATCTAGTCCAACCCCCTGCTCGAGCAAGAGAGTCTGTTCCAAATATTATAAAACAGATGCTCCTGCACCCAGGGGAACCCCTGTCCCCTCCTGTCCCACCTTAGCAAACGCTTCCGACAGAAGCGCGCAAACAGAGATTTCATTCCGGCACCGAATCATGTTAGCGTAAGTGGTTAAAGCACCAGGCTAGAAAGTGGGAGGTCCCGAGTTCAAGTCCTGCCCCAGCCCATGAAAGCCAGCTGGCTGACTTCGGGCCAGTCCCCCCCCCCCACCTCAACCCAACCCACCTCACAAGATTGTTGTCGTGGGGAAAAATAAGAGGAGGAAGGCACGTTGGATACGTTCGCTGGGTAAATATAATAATAATAATAATAATAATAATAATAATAATAATAATAATAAT